ACGGAAGTGAAATACCCAATTGAGCCTTCCCCATCCAGCATTTGAATGCCACCCACACACTGTGGTCTGTAAGGTACCATGTTCTGAAAACTCTTAAGTATGAGGTACCTGCATGTGTCCAACAATTTTACCAAAATTACAGATTCCACAAAACAAAGCGAAACAACAATTGTAAAAGGAAGTAATGTTCTCCTTCCTAGATATCTTATGTCCTTTAATTGGTTATACAAAAATCCCAAGATCTAATTCCTGTCACAACTCGTGCTTAATGTACCTTCAAAACCCAACATTCCCCTTATAACAAACAAATATTGTTTGACCAAGAGCAATCATTTAATGGAAATTCCCCAATTAGCTCCATATTCCTCCAATAATAACTCCAAAGACCAGACCATTACAGTTTATTGAACACCCAACAAGTGATAATGGTGTATTGTTCTAGATAAATGTTATCTACATGGTCTGAACACCAAACAACATTATCTCCATGTAATTGTTCTATACAGTAAAAAAATCCTAAGTGATTGAGCCTACCTACTGCAGACCTGTCATGTATTGTTAATCCTAAGTGATAATAGCTTATTTTTCACTGATAAAGTGATAAGGCAGAAATGAAGAAGTTAAAAAAATGAAGGGTTTATATCAATCCCAGGTGAGAAAAGCTAGATGCACAATATTGCTATCATCTAACATTTGCTATCATCTCAATATTCAACAACTTAATTCCCAAAAATATAAAAAACTAGCCTAGATCTGGTGCACCTGCTATCACCTCAGTATTCAGCAAGCTAGACACACCAATATTGTGCAAGTCAAACAGCACTGCCATGCACAAAATCCACAGCAGCAAATTGCTGCACCTAAATCTGATGCACCTAAATCTCATGCACCTGCAACCACACACCCACAACTGAAGCAACTAAATCTGATGCAACCACAACAAGTCTGAAGCAAATAAATATGATGCAACCACAACAAGTCTGAAGCAAATAAATCTGATGCACACATTTAAATCTACTCTAAATATTGCACCTAACTTTGAGAGCATCAGATATTACAAAAACAATAACCAAAACCAGAGTTGTATGCCTCAGATACAGAGTAATAACTATTAATAACCAAAAAATTTAGGAATATGAATGCAATTTTAAAGATCGCCCCAATTGTTGCAGCTGGTGTTGTTTAGGTTTCACAACAACTCAAATTCTTCCCTTGCGTGTTCTTAGTTGTCTTTGCCTTTTTCTTCGGTTTCTCAACACCTAACTTGTACCTAGAATCTGTGGTGCGATGAGCAGGCCTCTTTAGTAAGGGTGGGTCTTTCACAGGAACATCTTCTTGCACACCATCACAGTTACCCTGTATCTAAGTTGAGGGAGTTAAGTCCTTTTCCTTCTCAAGGCAAACAGATGAAGGTGTTCCAATTACACCTGACCTTGACCACTTTTTTTCGCAAGCATAGCTAACTTCTCCTCCACTTGCAATTCAAATAACTGCAGTGCTTGCATCACCACTGTAGTAGTCTCAATGTGACCAGAAGCTTTTGAACACAAACTACCAAATCTCACCATCATCTTGTCATACCTACAAACTCCTCGATTTTGCTTAGGTCATGGTAAATAACTTTCACCCTTGTGTGCTTCATCACATCTTTTCTCCACCTCTGAAGAATGTACTTGTCAGGTATCTTGAGTAGTTGTTCATCTCAAACACCTTTATGATGTGGCGAAAAATAATGCCATGACATTCAAAGTACCTATAACTACACTTAACTTCATAAGTAGAATTATCAATTTCAAGCTTGTACTCCATCTTTCTCTTTGAAGGAATTTCTTTGTTTGAGTTTTTTGGCTTGTACCAAACTCGGTCCTCCAACACATGCTCGGTTAAAGAATTTGAAATCTGCTTTCTATGAATTCCACTAACGTATATTATATGGCTGCACTCTCTTTGCACCTCTTTGAATTTGGCATCCGTATATATCTTTTGAAATACCAACTCAACTGGAAAGTCAGTGTACGCATGACGCACATACCACTCATTGTTATCATTATCTCTTTTATCACTTGTGCGTCTAACCTCCAAGGCATCACAATACCTCTCCACAAATTCAGACAACAAAGTGTGCTTGCTCAAATACCCATAAAAAAACCTATGAATACTCTCCACACGTTGAGTTGTCTTCATTCCCGCCCAAAATAGATGTTTCATAAAGGCGGGAACCCACATATGACGTTCTTCATACAAACCTATTACATTGAAGGAAGGAAACACACATAAATTCACAACACAAACCAAAAGATGAAAACAAAAGATCAAATATGTTGAAGGCTCATTCAGTATAGCTAAGCTAAAAAAACAAGAATATTCAGACCACTGAACAATCAAATTTCATTACACTGCCAGTCAAATCAACTGTAAATCCCAAGAATAGTTATACCATCCATTTTCTGTTATCTTGTTGGTTCATGCAATAATCAGGTGTTGCTGACCACAGCCCATGTTTGCATAACCATAAGGACATCTAAACAAGTTACATCTAATTACAAAGAAAAATATAGTGAATCCTTTCAAGCATACCTGAAAACAGAACTTAACAAGTGCATTTCAGGCTCAAATCTAAGGCATTCACTCAACCACACACATAATTCATAACTCTAGGGCATACAGTCAAGCTAAACAAGTGCAACCAAGTTAATTCAGGAGTTTAGCCAGGTAGCAGATGTTTTCCAGCTGTCTACTTAACAAATTTCAGCAGCAACTAACAGGATTACTCACCAATTTCAATAAGTAGCTTGTACAAGTATTCACAGAACCAGAAGCTTTCCTAATCAACAGCAACAGAAGCAAAATAGCTATCCTATGCAACAATTAATGCTATATATGTATGATCTAATGAACCAATTAAAGCTATATAGAAAGATTAGGAGGCAGACCTTGCAGCCATTCATCGTCTTCAAGTTCATGCTTCTTGATAACCTCGGGCCAATTTGACTCAAACTCTTCGCAATCAAGGCTGTCATAAATGACATTCTCAAGGTCATCGTGAATTTGGGCATAATTAGGAAGCTTGCCAAGCTTCTTGGCAAATTTTTGTGTGATGTGCCAAATACACCATTAATGAGTAGGTCCTTTCATAGTCACCTTTAAAGCTTTCCTCATCGCCGGATCTTGATCCGTTAGGATACTAATTGGTTTCTTTTCACCCATACACCTCAACCAATTAGAAAAGATCCACTCAAATGTTTTTGTGGTCTCGCGGGAAACTAATACACATCCAAACAATATCGTTTGTCCGTGATGATTTACACCCACAAAATTACAAAAGGGGAGCTTATATTCATTGGTCAAATACGTCGAATCTAAACACACGACGTCTCCAAATCCTCATACGCGACCCGGCTCCTCGCATCAACCCACAATACATCTTGGAGCCTACCCAACTCATCTACACGATGAGTATGAAAAAAAATGGAGTTATCATGCGTCATCGTCTTGAAGTAAGCAAACATTACCTTCGTATCACCTTCCTCAAATACAGCTTTTCTTTGCTTCCCAACTATCACATGCAAATCATTTTAGGTAAATTGCATCTCTTCCCTACCATTTCTTTGTCGGGCCATACAATTATATATAGTAGCAACAGGTACACCCGCCTTCCGATCATTTAAAAGTTGTTGAACAATGTGAGGATTGTCCATTAGGAACTTCTGCTTAAACTTGGTGATGTTTTTGGACTTCCCGGGTGTCGGCTTGTGACCTTGATGTTCTACCAGTGCCTTATCAATTACCCATTCACCTACCTCGTTTATCTTCGCATACAACTTCATGGGGCAGCTAACTTTTTTGCTCTTGCGTTTCACACAAACTTCGTCACTTATTTGTGAATCTGAAACAAAGGTGGAATCGGACTTCTTACTCTTCCTACCAGGCAATCCAAAACATTCACAAGTCCAAGTTATATTAAGCTTTTCCTTTGCATTTTCATCTTTTCCTTTTGTCGCCCCACTAGAACGGACAACCCCAAACCCTTCTTGTTCTCTGTAATTCTTAAAGTACGTGTCTATTTTTTGCCAACTCTCAAATACCATTCCAACAGCGAGGGGAGGAAGAGATACCTTAACATTTTCACACTCTTCAATCTCAATACTAATAGCCACACTACTCTTTCCTTTAGTAGGAGTTTTGTAAGACTCTTCTCCAACATTCACCTTTTTCCACATAAAATCAATGCATATCACAAATGTAATCCACACCACCTAACTAGTTCAAAAATAAAGTAACATACTTAACCACTAATACACACTACAAAACCTACCAAATTAAACAATGTTGGCATCAAACAAATCAGGTGCACTATTACCACTGTCCAACAACAACAACAAAACAATAGGCAAAAACAACATAAGCATAAATCATAGCACTGAAAAGCAAGAAGATACAAGACCCACCACCATGAAACTATACAACTGTCCCCCAATGTCATACAACAACAAAATCAGATGCAGTATTCATTTTAATATACTGAAAAGCATCACACCCAAACACAACCCCAACCAGGACCATTATTCCATACAATTGTCCCCAACCTTACTACTACATAAGCAAGGGAAATGCTCCATTCCCAACTCCCTCTCTCTCTACATATTTAAACTAAACCAAGTAATACGCTACATTACAGTACGATTTTTGAATTTTCAGAACAATTAAATCATAAAACCTAAAAATTAAATGTCCAAAATTAAAATTAGTTTACATATTACCTCCTTCAACAAGGCTTCAAGGGCTAAAGAACACTGCTCGTCGTCATCTTCTTGCTCGCGGGTTTCGATCAGTGGGTCTTCGGGGTCTTCAATGGCAGCTAAGTCTTCGGGGTCTTCAATGGCAGCTGTGTCGCAATCCGACAAAATACCGGTATAACGACCACCACCCTCTTCATCATCGTTTGTTAACAACGAATCCTCCATCACCAACATCTTCCTCGCCATTTTCACAGATTGGTGATGGAGATTCAAGAGCAACTGTTGGTGATGGAGATTCAAGAGCAACTAAGAAAGAATGAAAAGAAAGGTAAAAGGGAAGACAGTAAAGTAACGGTGAAAAGGGAAAAAAGAAAGTAAAAAGGGGGAAAAGGTACTCATATAATACAAATTGTATTATACTTCCCTCTAATACAAGCATTTACCTTCTTTTTTTTTGTTGCTAAAGTTTCCTTTTTATTGTAGCGTGGGACCCCCTTCATTTTATTTTCCTTCTCAACGGCGTTCGTTTTGGGTGTGATGCATTTCCTTATGCATATCAACACTTCAATTCATTTAGACTTCCTCGGTGACTTTGTGGGTTGTCCGGTTGTGTACTTGTGTGTAATCTGTGTATGTGAGTATCTATTACAGAGGGTATATTTGTAATTTTATCACTAGACGAGAGCATTGGACGATGTGCCTAGTGCCTAGTGCCTACTACCTTAGTTTTGCTGAGTAAGAGCTACGTAAACTAAGGAAAATTAAAAATGAGGACATATATATAGGTACTTTTGTATGAGCAAGCCTCAGTTTCTCAATTGAGACAAATGTTGCTGACTCACCCCTCTTCCTTCTTGTTTTTTCAATGTAACAATGGCAATTTCTTCACCAAAGTCTCAGTCAACAACACAACAACACTACATACATCAACCCCAACAAACCATTTTCGGCAGCCATTTTCGACGTCGAAGGCACTAGATTTTGAAATCCAAAATTCGATAATTAACTCAGAAGTTGCTTCAATGGTGGAAAAAACACTCAAAAGCTGCTTCAAGGGATCGCTGTTTCGCGGCGATAAGCCAGTCAGCCGAACAAAAGATACCCTAGCAGCAAACTATGTAAATTAGGCTCATACTAACCCCTTAGGGAAAGGTATTTGCTAACTGTCATATAGTTGGAGCAGCGAGGTGGTGCTATGTTTTGGGGTTGGAGCGGTGGAGCAATGGTGGTTGTGCAGTGGGTAGTGTTGATGGTGGTGGTCTGGTGAAGTACATCTAGCGGAGAGAAAAAGAGGGTAGACTGGAGAAAAAAATCACAAAATTACATTTTACCCCTATTTTATTAGCTAAAAAGACAGGTTTAACCCTTTGAGAAACATATAAGGTTTCTCAATTGAGAAACTTGTATTTACATCTTTTGTATTAAAGAGGAGAGAGATAGAGAGTAAGACATTTATTAATAAAATTCGAACCTAAAAAGTGGGGTTGTAGACAATAAAAAATGAATAAAAAGTTATCATAAAAGTAATAAAGTAAAAGTGAAAAAACTTAGAAAAACGGAAGGGAAGCGAGTAAGTCTTGGGAAAACGAGGTAGTATAATCTACTTCATTTTTTTTAAAAAAAATATTAGTTCAGTTCAACAAATATTTTCCGTAAAAATAAGTTTAATCACTAAAAATTAGAAATTTGAAGAACAAATATAATAGAGAATCCGCAAAGTTTTAGGCCCTGTTCTCTTTACCTTATATTTGCTGAACCGAAATTATTTTTATTAAATTGTAATATTTTTTTTGGACTTTAATTATATTTATTGAACTGAAATTAAGGAAAATTTGTATATTACCACCTATAAATAACCCACTTATTGATATCACCACCCAAAAAAAAAGGAAAAATGGATAAAAATAATTCCAACTTTTGCTCGTTCGCCTAAAATAATCTCAATTATAGATTATTTTTAAATAATCCGAACTTTAGGGATCATTCTCTCAAAATGATCCCAAGTGACCGGTAACCTAATAAAAAGGTAATTTTTTTAATTTAAATGACACATGTCACCACATGATTGGTTGAAAACAAATAATTAAAAAAAAAACAAAAAAAATGCTTGTCGGCGCCCCGAACCCCTCTCCCTCGCGCCGCCCTTCCCCTACCTCCTGCACAACCAAACCCCCACCCCAAATTGTTGATTGGTGAAGGTCGAATTAATGATTTAATTTGCTGGGTTGCGGGAAGTTCGCCGGTTGTAGGTGGTTACAGGGCTGCTGCGTGCTGAGGTGGTTTCATGGTGGTTGAATTGTTGATTGCACGTGGCCAATTGGTGGTTTGCAGGTGGCGAATTAGCGATTGCGAGGATGCTTCAATAAAATGGGCTAAAATGGCAGTGCAAGAGGAGCAATTGGGGTGGCTGGATTGTGGTGGCTGATGTATGAGTTTTATACCATGATTTATCCCGGTTTTACAACGTATATTTGCATGGTTTTAGGCTCTTTGGAGCCATTTCTCGCTAACAATCTCTTCTCTAGTGTGTTCGATGTATTTTTGTGAGTTTCATAGGAATGCGGAGTTTCTTGGATGAATCGAGCAAGTTTTGGATGTTTATAGAAGAAGTTAGTGCATGAAGAAGAAGGTTTCCCCCATGCCCTGTTGACCCTAGCTTGCCCGGTGAAATAGGGCAAAGAAGGACGAGTTAAATACTGAGTATTTGCTGTAGATCCTAAGTGCTCGATTGGGTATGTCTTGCCCGGTTGGACCGGGCACAGAGGAGTTAGAAGATAGCTAAGAATTTCGAAGGCAGCAAGTAATTTGAAGGCCGGGTGGAAATAGGCTTGATAGTTGATTTGGGAAGCCATTGATAACTTGGAAGAGACCTTTGATATTGTTTAGGTAATGCTTTTCCTCTTGTCGATTGAATTGTTATTGGGGGTAGAATTATTTATCCATTGATTATATTCGTGGTAATGCTTGATCTTGGTTCATTTATTTATCACCTTCTTTAGATTAATTGAGTCCTTTATTTATTAGTTCTTAGAATTTCATCACCATTGTTTTGTTACTCGCTCAGTGATTACTTGAGTCTATTTAATTAGGTGAACCTTAGTCTCTTGGGATTCGATCCTTACTTGTCCGTCTACATATAGAGTAGTGGTCTCGTTAGGTTTATTTTTGTAGGTACGCGACACGCCTACCAAATTTTGGCGCCGTTGCCGGGGACTAACGGTATTCACCTAGTTATTTGTGATTCGTTTTTACTAAGCTTTCGATTTGTTGCTTTGGCTATTGCCCCTTGTATGTTTGATCTCCTCTTTTTAGTTCTTTGTTGCATGTAAACTCGATGTTCAGGTTTAGACAGCTTAACACCTTTTGACTCTGAAATCGAAGCTACTGCAAGGAGACGAAGAAGTAGAAGAAAGGGATATCAAAATACAAGTAAAATGATTGAAAGAATCAAATCTTTATTGGAGTACGGCATACCTGATACCGCAACTGGGCTCCTATCCAGCATTGTCAGACCACCTATTACCGCTCAGAGCTTTGAATTAAAACCTCAATTCATACAGTTCATCTCCAATGACTCATTTGCAAGCACACCTCATGAATGCCCTGTTAGTCACATAGACAGTTTCTTGGATAAGTGTGACACCATAAAGCTCAACGGTGTTACTGATGATGCTATCAGACTTCGTTTGTTCCCTTTTTCACTACGGGATATTGCGAAGGAATGGTTACGAGACGAAGGTATAGGTTCCTTTGATACATGGGATAAGCTTGCCAAAGCTTTCTTAGTAAGATTTTTAGGGCAAGAGAAGACTGCAAGGTTAAGGAACGAGCTAGCTACCTTTCGTCAATCTGATGATGAGTCTTTATATGAGGCATGGAGAAGATTCAAGAGCTTACAGAGACAATGCCCTCATCACGGTATCCCAGAGTGGATGTTGATCCAAACATTCTACAATGGTCTGACCCATGAGTTTCTCATATACATTGATGCTGCATCCGGGGGTTCTCTCATGACTAAGAACCCAACTGAAGCCAAAGAGCTAATTGAGAAGATGGCAGCCAATGATAATTATCATCCAGGAGGTCGACATAGTGTGAAGAAGGGAGGTAAATTAGATGTTGATGCTCTAACTCTTTTGACTAGCTCTGTATAGGCATTGACAAGCAAGTTTGACAGACTCCAAGCCGGAACATCTACTAGCTCACCGGAGACTTGTCAGATGTGTAATGTGCAGGGTCACATTGCACCTAATTGCCCCAAAAATTCCAGTGAGATGTCAATTGAGGAGGCCAATGCATTCTACACCTCTAATCCTAAAAGGCCGTATGATACTCATTCAAACACATACAATGAAGGGTGGAGAAATCATTCGGACTTCTCTTATATGAACACTCAAGCTCAATTGAATTCTCCGTCACCACCACCTAGTTTTCAAGCAAGGGCATCTTTTAATCACCAACCCATGAATCAAAAACTACCACCGCAAACTTCAAAATACAATATTGATTCCATTATGGAGACTTTCACTACTTCCCAACTTCGACAGCAAGAGCTTATGACAAAGCAATTTGAGCTACAAGCAAAGCAAAATGAACACTTTGAAAGCTCAATTCAAATGCTTATTGTTCAAAATAAGAGGATAGAAACTCACCTTTCTCAACTTTCACAATAAGTGAGTCATTTATCAACTCTTTATGATTAAGCAAAAGTCCAAAAAGAACAATGCAATGCAGTTTTCTTGAGAAGAGATGAATCATTTTCAAGGAAAATAGATGAGAAAGTGAGCAGTGTGGAGTCAAGAAAAGATGAAAAGTGTGAGGATATAAAAATTCCCAAATATGTTGCTCCACCGGCCTATGAGGAACCGATGCCCTTCCCGCAAAGGTTTTCAAAAGCCGTGCTCGATAAACATTTTGGAAAATATTGCGAGACTCTTAAGAAGGTATATGCTTCCATTCCTTTTTCTGACCTTTTAATTCAAATGCCTCAATTTGCAAAATTTGTGAAGGAAATTAATGATCAACATGATGATAAGGAAGTAGTAAATGAGAAATGCTCTACTCTTTTACGTGATAGCCTACCACCTAAGCTGCATGATCCTGGTAGTTTTACTATTCCTTGTATGATAAACGAAATATTTTTTGACAAGGTTTTGTGTGATTTAGGTGCTAGTCTTAATTTAATGCCTTATTTATTATATGAAAAATTAGGTTTGCAAAAACTTAAACCTTCCCCTATTTCTCTTCAAATGGCTGATAGGACTGCTAGACTCCCTAAGGGTGTGGTTGAAGATGTATTAGTTAAGGTTGGTGAGCTTGTTTTCCCTGTTGATTTTGTTGTTATGGATATGAAAGAAGACCATAAGATCCCGATTATATTTGGTCGCCCATTCCCTGCCACAAGTCAAGCTCTAATAGATGTTCCTAAAAGACAAGTAACCATTAAGGCCCAGGATAAACAAGTAGTGTTTAAGCTCTTTAATGAACATAATTTTATATTTGATGGTGGTACTTGTTTAAGAATTGATGCTACTAACCCTTTGGTTGATAAGTGTGTATGTGATAGCAATCTTGTGAGAAACGAGGACAATATTCCACCAAATGATGTGTTTAGCTGCATGAAAGTAAGTTCGGATACAAAGAATGTCAAATATAAAATGAAGGAGTCATTTGGAGGCGGATATTTTTATGGGCAACATCGCGGAGTTTCTTCTTTGTGTGGTGACCCAGGCTGAGCTAATAAAGAAGGTCAAGCTTAAGACCTCAAACAAGCACTAAATGGGAGGCAACCCATTCCTTTTTATTTTATTTTATTTATTTTATTTTATTTTATTTTTTTCCTTTTACATTTTTTTTCCTGTTTTGTTAGTGTCTAGAAAACAAACAAACAAAAAGAACCATCACCGCCCCGAGGTAATTTTCCAAATCCCACACGTTGCAATGAGGTCATTGCTGAGTGTAGCTTGGGGGAGACTTGTGTATATCTATCTCGGTATGTTCTCTTATTTTCTTTTGCTTTGTTGGTTTGTTTTTATTGCTTTGGTTTCTATTGCTTTCGTAGTACAGAAAAAAAAAAATGAAAAAATACGAGAATCATGATAATGAACGGCCAATGAACTACTTCTCTGTGCCCTTATCCTTAATGCCAAAAGGTTTTTGATTTAATCTCGATTGAAAGATTTGCATTGCGAATTAAATGATCATGATTTGACCTCGAATTGTTTGATCCCTTGTGGGAGTCAACGTTATTAACCATGTATGAGTTTGGAGCTTGACTGTGTTAACCGTGAGGCTTGAGCCTTAATTATTCATTCATGTGTGTTTAGTTCCTGGTGTGATGTTGATCTTAGTTTTGACTCTAGACTTTTAGTAATGTGTCATAATACATTGCATGTGCACGTTAAGAATGACGAAGGCCAAGTTCATTAGGAGACCTCCAGATGAGTTTAGAAACGTTAGTTCCCTTCTTGCTCACCCATGTTGTAGCTTTGTCCATATTTTTCGTGAAACTCACAAATTTAACCCTTGGCCCCGAATTGGCTACTTTTCCCAAGTCTAGCTTGGGGGAGCTTCATTGCGTGTTGTTTTATGTAAATTTTGTTATGAGTTGGCGTTTAATGTGGAATTGTAAGGAAGAAAGGAAAAAGAGAAAAGAAGGAATTATAAGCATGGAGGTTTATTACTTGAAAAAAAAAATAACAACAAGGAGAAAAAATTGATACAAAAGAAAGAACGTTTGTTCTTGAAAAGGAAAAACAAGAAAAAATTGGTTGATTGAAGAAAAAGAAAAGAGTTTAAAGTTGAACAATATGAAAAGTAGTAGTGGATGTTTCTTAAATAATTTGGGTATGTGCTCGTATTAATGAAAATGATGAATCGAGGATGTGATTAATTGCACTTGATAGCTCCCCGATTAGACTATAATAGCCCACATTTCCCAAATTTATTTCCTACCCACTTTTATCCCGGCCTACATTACAAGCTTGAAAAAGTCCTTCCGATCTTCGTGCATGGTATTGTGTTCATGTGAAACGAGTCTTTTGTCAAAATGCTGGAGTATATGTCACATTTCGATTCGACATTTGACTAGGTTGAGCAATAATATAACCCTTTAAACACGCGAGTGTTGTGAGATGGGGGGTTTGCATTATTGGTGGGGATGGTGAGAGATCGAGCTCACTTTTAGCTTGCCACATAAATAGCGTGTTGAGTGACCACCAAGGTGAGATATTCTAGTCATCGATTCTTGAGTTGTACATGGTTGATTTCGCTTGACGACTATTTAGGTTGATCGATGGTTTGAGTGATTTGATTGGTTGGCTAAGATGCATGCTTGTTTGATTTCGATTTTGAGTCCTTCGTTTAAAATTGCATTATGGGGTGAAGTATGTTTACTTAGTTGTTTGTTATTTTTGATTGCCTTTCTTGAAGACAAGCAAGAGGTTAGCTTGGGGGAATTTGATGTATGAGTTTTATACCATGATTTATCCCGGTTTTACAACGTATATTTGCATGGTTTTAGGCTCTTTGGAGCCATTTCTCGCTAACAATCTCTTCTCTAGTGTGTTCGATGTATTTTTGTGAGTTTCATAGGAATGCAGAGTTTCTTGGATGAATCGAACAAGTTTTGGATGTTTATAGAAGAAGTTAGTGCATGAAGAAGAAGGTTTCCCCCATGCCCTGTTGACCCTAGCTTGCCCGGTCAAACAGGGAAAAGAAGGACGAGTTATATACGGAGTATTTGTTGTAGATCCTAAGTGCCCGATTGGGTATGTCTTGCCCGGTTGGACAAGGCACAGAGGAGTTAGAAGATAGCTAAGAATTTCGAAGGCAGCAAGTAATTTGAAGGCCGCTCGCGCGCCCGATCGGGCATGGTCCGCCCGGTGGGACCGGGCACGTGGTGGAAGAAGAACTACGAAGAGGAAGAAGCGCCGTATCCCAGCCGCCCGATCGGGCATAGCTCGCCCGGTTGGACCGGGCACTGCCTTACGGAATCCGACTTGTTTATTTTCGTATTTTTATCCTTTTAAGGGTATAAATACCCTTTGTAATCACAATTAGAAGACACTTTTTATGTCCTTTAGCATTGTTTCTCTCTAAGAACCCTAGTTTACTCTCTTTTAAGCAATTTAATTCTTCTATTAGCTTTGATTATTATTCATCAACAATTTGAGTTCTTTCAATTGAAGTAATATTGGTATTTATCTCTTTCTCTTCTCTTTCAATTATTATTGCTTTTTGATTATGTTTTCTCCATTGAATTTCATTATTGATTTTGTTAGCATGTGTGAGTAGATTCATAATCCGGGATCTTGCAAAGCCCGGATATGATTAATGCTTGGATTTAATCTTTAAATTCTCCAATAATATTCCCAATTGACATGCTTAATTGATTGTGTTTATGCCAATGCTAGATTAGGAATAATTAGTATTGTTATCATCCCTTTGTTCTTATTGCAACGAAAGTTGAATATTAACGGGATTTGGGTATTCCAATTAAGGGTTTGTAGGTCATCACGGAAGTAGATGATTGAATGATTAGGAAGTTAAGTATTGTGTTTAATGTCCCTTATTTGCTTGATTCCATGGAAATAGGCTTGATATTTGATTTGGGAAGCCATTGATAACTCGGAAGAGACCTTTGGTATTGTTTAGGGAATGCTTTTCCTCTTGTCGATTGAATTGTTATTGGGGGTAGAATTATTTATGCATTGATTATATTCGTGGTCATGCTTAATCTTGGATGCTTTAGTTCATTGATTTATCACCTTCTTTAGATTAATTGAGTCCTTTATTTATTAGTTCTTAGAATTTCATCACCATTGATTTGTTACTTGCTTAGTGATTACTTGAGTCTATTTAATTAGGTGAACCTTAGTCTCTTGGGATTCGATCCTTACTTGCCAATCTACATATATAGTAGTGGTCTCTTTAGGTTTATTTTTGTTAGGTACGCGACACGCCTACCAGTGGCAGAGTGATCAAGTGGAGATGGGTGTTGCGCTGAAGGTTTAGGCTAATAGGCCAGTGGTGATGGTGGTTGTTTGGTGATGTGGGCTGTGCGGTTTTTGTGGGGCTGCTGAATGGTGGTTGTTGTGGTTGATGTGTGTTTGTAGGGGTGCTGGTCGTGGCGGAGCTAGCGGTGTATTGCAGGGGTGTTCATTGTTCAAGGGTTAGAGGAAGGGCGTTGCCGTCACCGGCGCGGGGGAAGGGTGTTTGGGCGCCGGTGGGAATGGGGAGATCCGAGAGGTGGCCGTGGCAGGTGGTGGGAAGGGAGGTCGTGGGTGGGACTGGTTTTTTTTTTTTTTGAAAAAAATATTTCAACCAATTATGTGGTGACGCGTGTCACCTTAACCTATTATAACAGGTTAGGTGACTGGTTGGGACCATTTTGAGCGAATGACCCTTAAAGTTCGGATTTAAAAATAATCCAAACTTGGGATTATTTTGAGCGAAAGGGAAAAAGTTGGGATTATTTTTACCAATTTTTCCAAAAAAAATTATTTTAAAATACCAACAAAAAAAACAAAAAAATTAATTAGATTTCACCACCATTTAACCCTTTCTATTAAAAAAAACCGTTAAATCTAAAGCTTTAAAAAAAATTCCATTTTCGTGCCAAAAACATGCTCTGTAGAGATTTTGGGGGTCATTTATGACCTTTGGACCCTATTTGAGGTCAAAATTTAAAAAAAAAAAAGATTGAAAATATCTCGTTTTGCGTACTAAAAATTACATCGGTTTGCGTGACTCATGGAATAGGAGACATTTTCAATAGTTTATTGCAAATTTTAAGCTCAAATCAAGTCCAAAGGGTAAAAATGATATCAAAAACCTTTTAAGAGCATGTTATTGGCATGAAAACTGATTTTATTTTATTTTATTTTTTTTAAAAGTTAGATTTAACGGATTTAATTTGATAGTGGAATCTAAATTTTTTGCCTTTCTTTTCCTTTTGAATGTACAACTATGAGTTGTATTCATAAATAATATCAGAGTTTGCATTCAAAAAATTAGCAAATAAACCTGAGATCAGATGCAAAAGGGCAACAAGTACTCCGTAACAAATAACAAGCATAATCCATAGACTGTTAAGCTGGATACATGCATGAACACTACAACCTTATCAGGCACACAGGTCTATATGCCAGAATTGTTCTTAGCGCTGGTGCTTCCGAAAGCTATTGGCCATCAGTAGTAGTAGAGAAGTTACTAAAGGTAGGAAACAATAGCAGGAGTTTTTATCAACAGAACAAAGAGAGGAAAGTACTAATTACTAACAAGTTATAAATGACAATGAAACCTCACAACATATTTTAAGGAATGATCAACCAATCATTAAAAATGAAGAAAAAAAGGAAAAGTTGAAAACAGAAGGAAGGTATGTTCATTATTGTGTCAAAATCCTCAAACTATTTGTCTATAATAGTAATAGGCGCACCCTGGCGACTTGTCTCAAATGAAAGATGAAATATGGCAGCAAACCAGAAAGGATTATGCAAATGAGGAGAATTATACACCATAATTCAAGGCAATAACAAACCTTAAATAAATTTCTGTACTGTCTTTGTTGAAGTTGAGCAGTACGTACCCACATCAGGCTATAGTCAGAACCTAACAAATATCATGTTTACAAGGTAGTTTTTGTAAATTATCTCTAGTAGGCGAGCCATCTTTATCAGGTTAACTCTTGAAAAGCTAGTTGTCTGTACAATAGCTCATTAACTGAAGCCCTTTGAGAAGAAAGATCAGCATCTTTACTGAGATAAGCCCGGATTCTAGGTGGTTGGTTCTCACATATAATGTCCTTGGATGTTTCAATAGACCCGAGAGTCTGAGACATGATAAATCCTGCAATCATGCATGACAGAAACAATTTCAAAATAACCTAACTGATTAACGCCATGTTGCTGTAGATAAGGCACCAACCTTACAGAGCTAATGTGCGTTAATAATTAGCATAAAAAATGCAGATCTTGAGAATGCTTTCGTACATTTGATTCCAGTAAAATCATTAATCATATATGCAAAAGTTTGGCCTTTTCTTCACATTCTATTGCACAGGAACTTCTTGCAAGTACTGGATTAATTTTCAGGGGAAAAAAAAGTAAAAAAATGTTTAATGCTGTAATTATCAAAGATGAAAGACTTTTTTGCTATTTTCTTAAGGGACATTCAAGACGAGAAAAAGTTGAACCCCTTAGGAAACAACTGTTAAGAGAAAGAGAGTTCACTTCACAAGACGAAAAAAAGTTCCATCACAAAACCATATGGTAATAATATGAGTATAATACGAGGAAAAGCCTCTTACCCTTATAAATTGTTTAACTGTCTCTTAGAGGCACTCACATGTGTTGGGGAAGGTAATGATCAACAACACCCAAGGAAAAGCTCTTTTATTATACAAAAGTAACAGGACATGGAAATCGCATGGAAATCGCAGTCTGTACTAGCAGTCATGATCATATATTGTTGAATTTCAATGAACTCACATATATAAACCATCTTCAAGCTGATGAGGTACACAAACTGAAAGAACAAAGAAATTAGTTCAACGATCGAAGTTTAGACATGCATATTTAATCGAGACAATCCATGAGTTGAAATTCAAAACAGGTAACATATTTCTTTGGATAATCATCAGCAACATAACACTACATCTTAAATTGAAATTGGCAACAAAGCAAGAGTTTCGAATACCTGGAATTGGTAGATGCTATTACTACTGATCTTATCAGCTTCTTGAGTTTTTTAACACCATAATATGAGCAAACAGTTGCACTTGAAGGTCATGTACCTGATATCTAATATGTCAGAACATTGCACAATGACAAAGGTATCAATAACATAATACTAAAACAGACACCAAGAATGACACGTGTCATTTCCTGATGCTGTTTTTTCTCTCCCAAACTTCCCCTCTCCCAAAACTGTTAGGTGCACCAGGCTTATAGTAATTTAACAGTACATCATCCAATTTTAGAGTAACATTTTAGCAATTTTGGGTAATTGTCAACCTCCTATATTTCTTTTAGTGTACATGAGGTATATTTAAGCTAGACATATCAATAAAAAGAACCTTGAATCTATTATTTAAAGGTATAAAATTGTACATAAAAATTACTAAAAGTTAGCAATTATATACGGAGTAGATTAGGTGAAGATCATGTTGCACTACCCACTAATCATTATTAAACATAATTAAAAGCATGCTAATTTAAGTAAGTGATCATATATCTCCACTAACTCAATGGTAATTTAGTGCTACTAATTTGTAGGAACCACTAGTGTGAAGCATTAATCTCAACATTATCATCCTAATGACAATGGAAGTATTAACTTAGTTTATCAAAAACGCTAATAACTACGAGTATGAATTCCAGGAAGCGAGCTTTTAGTTGGTAATACTTGTATAGGTAGAGCTTGATTGACTTCAAGACATCAGAGGCAGTGAGCATCTTCCATAAAGTGTAAGTATAAGGCCATTGGGATCATATTTCAAATGTTGTTCTATCACATGACAGTTACTAATAAACACGTGATCAATGCGTGGAGGAAGGCCATTATCACCAAAGGATTCGAGCTTGGGGCAAGAGTAGATATAAATATTGTTCAGGTTGGGAAGAGTGGAACAACACATTGTTGTCAAATTTTGTAAGCCCACAATGTGTAATTTATACAGGGAAGAGGGAAGGTCAAGATCGCTTATGCACTTTACTGAGATGCCTATATTTTTAAGCTTAAGAATTTGAAGGGAAGTTAGAAGGTGCAATCCCCACTCTTGTATCGGTTTGTCTATGTTGGTTCCTGAAAATGAAAGTTGCCTCACATTGGATAAACTTGCTGTGAAGTTGCAGAATTTTGGACAATTTTCCAGTGATAATTCTGTAAGCGAGGTAAAGTCACTAACCAAGGATTCAAGCTTTGGGCAATCACTAACAAGATCAGTGAGGTTGGGAAGGGTGTTTCCATTGGCTATAGTTTTCAGATATCGAAAACTCTTGATAGTTAATTGAGACAAGGAAGATGGGAGAGGAAAATCAAGGCACGGAAGACACTCTACTAAGTCTGCACTGCAGCCTACATTCTGAAGAGAAAGGGTTCTAAGTAAATGAAGAGACCCTTTTGGAAAGTGAAGTGTTCTGAGGGATTCTTCAGCCATATTGAGCAATTGACCAAGAAGACTTTCCATGTTTTCGCAATCCCACAAATCAAGTGTTTGTAAAGCTGGGAGAAGCAGGCCTTTTTGTAATGATATTAGACTTGGGCATCTTTGTATTATCAATTTGGCGAGAAGAGGAAGTTCGAATGAATCCTTTGGGGAGACTCCAATGCTTTCTTCAGTTTTTAGGACTTTTTCATTGTCGCTTCCACGAGACAGATAGTTCATTAAATTCTACATACCTCAGCTTCTCGCAGTCATCAACCTCTAATGATTGTAGAGTCAAGGGAATATGACTAATAGAGACAATAAACTCACACTCTTCAACGCTGAGTTCTTCAAGACGAGAAGTTGAAGTAGACAAATTCTTCAATTCCAGGAATTGTAGCTCCCTGCAATTACAAATCTTAACTTGTCAAAGCATCACTGATATCCGGTCAATGGTAATGGGAAGAGATGAGCAATTGACAATGGAAAGCTCTTCATGAAGGTATGGAAAACTCCAATTGAAGCCAATAATCTCCATTATATTGCGAAGACTCATCCGTTTTGAACAGAAAATGACATCCGCAGTTGTAGACAATACTTTACATCCATCTACACTTAACACTTCTAGCACAGGAAGGCTTGTATGTGACACTTCGCATTCTTTGATTTCCAGTGTTCTAAGAGAAGGCAAATGAGGAAGTAAATCGCCTTGCAATGACAAACAATACTTAATGGAAAGCTTTTCAAGGAGGGGAATGCCCCGCCGTTGTTGTCAACTGGTGAGTGCACCCACTTCTTCAAGGACACCACATCCTCAATATATAATGTCTTCATAGATGGAAAAGGAGTCGTACAACACCCATAAAATTTAGTACCTACCTCTGTGATACCATTCATGCCTTTAACAAGAAGACTCTTTAACGAGGGTAGTTGCCCTAGAGGAGGCAAGCATTCACATTTCTCACACTCCTCAAGTCTTATGTGAACCATGTTGGTGAAAGAAGGATCTCCCAACCAACTTGGGAGTGTCGAGCCCCTGTAACCATCCAACTTACACTCTTTGATGGAAGTGTGAGGCCGCAACTTCTCAAGAACATCTCTTTTAGTGTTGTCATCAACCTCATACCAACAACTTACCCATTTCAGATGCAACTTATCTACACTATCTTTATCATGCAATCGGGCTTCCAGTGCATCCTCAACTTCTGTCAAATTTTCTAGTCCAGAGATAATTAATCTTCCATGAAGATGATTCAACTCCCCCAACTCTCTTACCCTCGACCCACCCTCAGGTGCCAAGACAAATTTATCTAAACTCTGCAAGCTTTTTATTTTCTCAATTCCCAGCGGCATCTCTTTTAAACAGGTATAATCAACGGATAGATGGTGAAGTTTAACGATGAATCCAACACTTGGGATCTCCTGAAGATAAGAACACTGACTCAACTCCAGTGTTTGGAGGTTCCTAAGTTTGCTGATTGACTTTGGCAACACTTTAATTTACTCTAATATGACAGTAAGAAGCTTCAAGTGCTTCAAATCACCAATACACTCTGGAAAATAACTCTCTGATTTTCATCGAAGATAGACGTAGAGTGCGTAAATATCTAAAGTGTTGAATGTAATTCAACATTTCAATATTAAGATCATTAGAGGATGAATAGAGAAAAGTTCGTAGTTGAGAAGCCAAGAGTTGATTCTCTACTACTTCATTTACACCAGTCTCAGTCACATACATATGGCGCATTCTTTTCAGATCATTATTCACAGTGTCTATTACACAACAGAGGTCACCTGCAGCCCATTTTGCCAAATCATGGATGAGGTCATGCATAGTGAACATTCTAGGACCTTCCTCAAATATGAATTCTTCTACATCAGGTGTGTATTCCTTAATTAATGACCATGATACTAGATCAAGGAAGCAATTGTGGCCGACATCTTCTATTCTTTCATTCGTGTTTTCTGGTAGGAAGCCCTGAGCCATCCAAAGTTTATGATCTCCATCTCCTGAAAATGGTAATCTTTCGGAAGCATATAGCAATAAGCAAATACACGCTTCAAATGAGATGGCAGATGATGATAACTCAACCTTAGGACCGGTAAAACACTGCTCTCCTCGCTCCAAATATTGCTATCTAATATTCTTTGGTGATGACTTTTATCTATTGCCTTTCGTAGGAGACCTCCAAGAGTTTTTGCAGCCAAAGGTAATCCTTTGCATTTCCGGACTATATCATTCTGCATCTCAGAAAGGTCAGAAAACTCAATTACATGCCGTTGAAATATACACCAACAATCCTCATCTGACAAACGCTCTAAATAGATGATGGTGTTGTGACGATAATTTCTCATCACCATTCTCGCAGTCTTCTCACTTCTTGAAGTGATAATAACTCTGCTTCCTCTTGCAGCACCAAGAAAAGGTGTTTATAGCTGCTTCCAATCCAAGTATTCCTCACTCCAAACATCATCAAGAACAATAAAGAATTTTTGGCCTTTCAGCAGTTGCTGCAATTTCTCTTGTGCTTGATTCAGGTTACTACAGTCAAAATTCCCCTGGGTGACCGAGTTGATGATATCTTTTGTTATGCGTTTCACGTCAAACACATCTGATACGCACACCCATGCCTTAAGATCAAAGTAACTCTTCACCTGCTCATCATTGTTAACATACTGAGCAAGAGTTGTCTTCCCAATGCCTCCCATTCCAGTGATAGGGATCACGACATAATTCTCATAACTTGGCTTATCATCCAACAATTGACAGATTATATTTTTTTTTTTTTTGCTATCATCCCTCCCATAAACATGAGACTCGCTTATCAAAGACGAGGTCTCTGGCATCTTTCTCTGTCGCTCCTCTAATGAGTATGTCAATCGTGGTATGGTGTTGGATAAGAGACCCAAAGTGGTAGCCTGAGTGTGAATCTTTAAGCGATTGCTTATCTCATCAATCCTAGATGAATAATAGTCTGGTTCAGAGTCACAAGAGTATCCAAATCTCTTAGCAGCAGTGCAGCACACACCACCTGATTAGTTACAGGTTATAAGACTATATGAGTAACTTGTACAGTTCTACACTTCTACAGCATCAAATTATAGTTCACCAAAGTTCTACAAAGCAGATAATTTGTTATAATGGCCATTGTTCAAATATATCCCAAAGGATCAACTTTTATTTTCTTAATTATGTAATTCAAAAAAAAAAAAAAAAAAAAAAAAAAAAAAAATTGTACTCAAAACCAAACAAATTGTAGTTTGTAATGTTACGGTATAAGGATTCATGCAATGCTCATCAATATCCCATGATTATAGGAGAAGACTTGTTTGTTATTGATTGATAATCATCACCGCATGCCAGCTCGATAGACTCTTTCATATTGCTGTATATATTAGAGTTATCTTCTTCCTATTTTGTAGGATTCTGTTTTACCTCTTTCCTCACCTTGTATTTCTATATATATTGTACATTATTCAATGAAGTAAATACAACATCAACAATTATTATCACATTATATGTAACCCTTATGTACAAATTATATTCAAATAACTGTCATATTTTATCTTTCAAAGTCAAATTTTGTAAACAATAACTGAAATTCTTATTATAATTAATATACAAATACAAACCACCAAAAAAACAGGAAAAACTTAGTTAGATTTGTGTATCATCACATTTTAGACATATAAAAACCACAAAAGACAACGCATCCATTCAAAGAGTGAGAAATATATGAAGTAGTGAACAAACCATATTATGGAGGGATGAGGTAAGAAATAATCCAACACCACAATTCTTGATTTTATCGTCGTCGTCCTCCTCCTCCTCCTCATCATCATCACCATTTGGAGTCATATTCGAGTTGTAACAAAGAGCTTCAAAAGCAAAGTCATCCAAAATATCCTCCAAATCATAAGCAAAATCCTGAAGTTTCTTCAACCATACCCCAACATCAGCTCCGTTTGGTTCGCATTGCATCTGTTCATCACGACTCAAAACGGCTTGAGTTGAGAAGAGTTCACCCTCCCATTCTTGAATAAGGTATTCCGTACCATTATAAGTTAGGATAACATTATTACGGAATATTTACTTTTAGTATTACGGATTTTTAGGCAAATATGCACTTTTTGAAGTAAGGAGACAGATAAAAAAAAAATAAAGAGCGCTCGTATAATATGAGAGATATATAGAGAATTTATTAATTAAAAAGGAAAGTAATGCATTAAAATGAACCTTGCATCTTATAAAAAATACAATTGAACCTTTTATCTTATAAAAAAAATAATTGAACCTTTCATCTTATTAAAAAAATAATTGAACATTTCATTAATAGAAAGCAATGCATTAAAAAAATCGTAAGAAATAATTTATATTATAACCCTAGTCATGAACTTATACTACCTACTAGTCTACTACGAACTCAACTTTTAAGTGAGGATTTTTTTTTTTTTTTTTTTAATATGAAATTTACTGAACTAAAATTATTTTTAGTGATATTGTTTAAAGTTACTAATTTTTACTAAAGTTATTTTACAGAACCTGAAATTTAGAGAGTCAGACCTTATTGCCATGTTTCATTTGGTTAAATATAAGAAAGACAATATATAAATAGTGTAAAAAAATAAAGTCCAACGTGTTGATTACTTTGGGATGTAGGGAATATGTAAGAACAAGTTATTGGACATGTATATCAGATTTTGGGTAATTAGACTCGCTATAAAACGGACTCACACAACTTTTTTTTTAATAATGCAATGCCTGTTTTATTATATGTGATCTTTAAGATTTTTTTTTTTGGGACAACAATGTGATCTTTAAGATGCGTCTACAACCATCAATATTTTTTTTTTTACACATTAATAACAAAATTTATAAAGTTATCTTTTATAAAACTATAAGTTGATTTTGTAAAACTATCAATGAATCAAACTATGAAACTAGGGGAATGAGTGATAGAACAAAGGATAAGGAGAAATGTAAAGATCTCATAAAACCAATTAATAAAGATCGACTATGGAGACAATCCATCTTTTAAGACAACTAGTAGAGATATATCGGGATATAAAGAAGGATTTACATATGATTTTTATTGATTTTGAGAAAACCTACGACAAGTTATCAAGGGAGATTCTTTGGTGGGATTTAACAAGGAAAGACACTTTGGGAAATATATTGACATAGTTTAGGACATGTATGAGGGATCTAGTGCAAGTGTACGGCCAACTGTAGGGAAGAACGAAGAGTTCCCTATTAATATCAAATTTAATAATTTTTATATAATAGTAATAAAATAAAGGAAAAATTAATAAGCCTAACTTTGGCTGATTTTTTTTAAAAAAAATTCCAATTTTCGATTATTTTGAAATAATCTCAAATTTGGTGTGCATTTTCTTTAAACAATCTCAAACCTGTCAACCACCTGTTATATCAGGCTTCCTAAAACATGTCAAGTTGTGATTGGTCTAAACACTAAAAATATAAAAAAAAAAAAAAAAAAATTGAGCGATTTCCCAAAGTATCGTCCATGTAGAATTGGTATGTGATTTGGCTTAAAACCACTAATATCATTAACGGTTTTATGTTAAAACCGCTAATGTCGTCAAGACGTCAACGATTTTAGATTAAAACCGCTAGCAGTTTTGTACTTCGTATTTTTCTAAAAAAATGTAAAGAGATTTGATAATACTGACATCTAGTCTATTTGAACTTAGCAACATCAGTGTAGTAAGGAAGCAAAGAGACCTGTTAATAGTAAAAGGCGGTCTCTAAAACCGCTAAGGCCCTGTTTTTTTAGTTGCCCTGCCTTGCTCTGCTCTGCTCAAATCTGCTCTGCTCTGCTCTGTTTTAAAATAATAATTAATAATAACAATAATAATAATTAATATTGTATAATAATAATAATTAATATTGTATAATAATAATAATTAATGTGTTTAAAAACATAATAATAATAATTAATAATTATTAATATTAACAATAATTAATATTTAATAATTCACAATATAAAGAATTAATATTTAACAATAATACTAATTAATAATTAATAATAATAATAATAACAATTAATAACATTTTCTAATATCACCAATCTTAATAATAACACATTATTTTTTTTAGGGAATAGTAATATATATATATATATATATTAATAGCAATACTAATAATAATAATAATAGCAATATATAATAATAATAATAATAATAATAATAATAATAATAATAATAACAGTAGTAGTAGTAGTAGTAGTAGTAGTAGTAGTAGTAGTAGTAGTAGTAGTAGTAGTAGTAGTAGTAGTAGTAGTAGTAATTATTATTATTATAATAATTATATGCGATAATAATAGTAATAATACTTAAAATAAAATAATAATAATATTAATAATAAAAATAATAGTGATAATAAACTGAAGTTTTCTAGCCTACAGAAGACCCTCGAAGCAGGCTTGTGGGAGTCTTTCCACCTAATATTGCTCGACCTTTGCGTGGTGTTAAGTTGCTTGGTGGTCTCGCTAGTTCCGATTCCGGTTTTAGTGGTGAGCTTGTCATGCAGAGGGTGACCAAGACCATTGCGCTTATGGATAGGGTTGCTATGCTAGATGATCCTCAGTGCAAGCTATTGTTACTTAGGCCATGTACCAGAGTTTCTAAACTCTACTTTGCATTGCGTACTTGTCCTCCTATTACTTTTGAGGCGGCTCAGCGCACATTCGATGGGGATCTTCGATCTTCCTTAGAGTGTATTAATACTGCTTCAGGACCTGGGTTTGGCGATTGGCAGTGGCGGCTTTAACCACCTTACCATTTGCGTTTGGAGGGCTAGGTGTTTATTCCGTAGGTGATGTTCGTCATTATGCTTTTCTTGCCTCTTGGTTACAATCTGCTGGGTTGCAGACAAAGCTTCTTCAGCATGCTGGCGTTGTTGGCCTTGGTCGAGCCTTTGAGGATGCGTTGAGTCTGTTTAATGGAATGGTTGAGTCTAACATTTTGAGTAATCTTAGTGAGGTCGCTGCCCCTAAACTCATGAAGAAATTGGCAGATATATACTTCACAAAGATTACCGCTTCTTCAAAATCCACCTTTTCTTTATCTCCTTGATATTCAACATTGTGGAAATCGCAGCGATCACACCTCCGCTTGGCTTCGGGCGATTCCTATTTCAAGTTTGGGTCAGACGATGAACGCAAAAAGACTTACCGATGTGTGTTGTGCTACTGGTTGGGTATTCCATTATTCTCTGCCTCAGCACCGTATTCTGCTTGTTCAAGGCTTTTCTTTACTAGGGATATTTTCGATGATCACGCGGTGTCATGTGCTGGTATTGTGGGCATTAAGCATTGGCATAATGTTGTTCAGGATAC